AGGGAATCCTACGGGATGACTCGCACGGCCGAGCTTTTGCTCCTTGATCTGCCGCAAGGACTTGCTGGTAGGTGGCCAGCGCTTCCAGCACATCGTCTTCCTCCAGAACCTGGTCTAGGTGGCCGTCCTTGAGGTAGACCCAGTTCTCGTCGTCCTCTTCTTCTTCTTCGGTTGCCTCCCCTAGGAAGCTGTCGGCCGGCACGGTGTCGTAGCGGTCCTCGCCCTGATCGCCTTCTTCGGCCAGATAGGTTTTCCGACCGCCCTCTGTGTGCACCTGCTCCAGCCTCCTAAGGTTAGTGATCACGGTGTCCAAGGAGAAGTCGCCGCCCAGCCAGGTAACCAAGCGAGCCTCGAGCTATTGGCCTGGCGAAACAACAGGTAGCCTGCAGCTTTCACGGGCAGCGTGACCCCTTCGTCCTTGAGCACCGCTTGCGCCCGCTGGAAGCGAATGAGAAACTCGCTCATGCTCTCCTTGTGGCCCCGCGGCTGGCCATAGAAAGCTCCTTCCATGGCCCTCGGGAGAGCCGTCTCCACGTACGGCTCGAACGCCTCCTTCAGCTTCTTCAGGACATTGGCAAAGCCGTCGACTCCCTTGATCTCCTTCACAGTGAGCGTATCGACGGCGGCTTTGGCTGCCCCCGAAAGAACTTGGACCAATTTGAGTGGCGGCACATCGGTGCAAGCTTGCCATAATTCTAAGTCACGGAGATAGGCCTTGAACTTGCTCTGGGGATCGGTCCCGTCATAGCCTGGAGGAGGCTCTTTATCGCGGTACGTCCATCCTCCTTCGCCAGGAGGCGGGGATCCGGCCATCGCCGGTTCCAACTCGACCGGCCACACCTCAGCTCAAGTCCAAAGCCCCAGCTTCACCTTGAACTTCCGGAGAATCACCTTGTAGAGCTCGAAATCGAAAACAGGCGCCGATCACAGGGAACTTGCGGCGAATCGTGTAAAGGAAGAGCTTCTCTGGCCGCCTTCCCCGACCTCTAAGGTCCCTGGTCGAACTGGCTCCAGTGCCAACTGATGACAAACCGAAACCGTTTCAGCACAACGCAATGGCTATCGGAACGGACTTTTGGCTTGCTAGAACTCGGTAGCAAAGAAAGCTCAAGGGCCCCAAGATTTGAGCCCCAACCGCCGCAGGTCAGTGCTGCTCGCTTGCAGGAACAGCTAGAGAGCCGATTCTCACTAGGTTACCAAGCCTGGTTTTGTCTTCAAGAGGACACTCGAAGAAGTTCCTGAAGGAACGCAAAAATGCACAAATTTAAGGACGATACTGCAAACGCTTGAAAGAGAAACCCTAGTGTGTGCAGCAGCCCTGCACGAAGGACCATTTATCGATGTGAGAGTTGGGTGCTAGTGAACAACGAAATGGGTGTAGAGCCTGCAGAACTGTGAAGGTCGGCGGTGGGAATTGCGGACTCCATGCAGCGCTGTAGGTCACTGTAGGTGAGCCATGTGAGCAGTGGCACAACTGCATTGGAGATTCGGAGTTCGTCGTGCAGAGCAGGTCTGTCCAATTCAATGCAAGAGGCTTGGTAGATGGAACGCGCTCGTGTGCTTTAGCCACATCTCGCAGCTTCGTTGGGCAACTCGATGTCTGCTGGTGTCCGTTTGTTTACACATTATAGTCGTCAGGATGGCCTGTCCTTTGGGTATGCCTCCCAAGCAGTTCGGCCCGCTTGAATTGTGGATCGAAAGCACTGTTCGGCAGTCTAGCCAAGCTCTGTCTTAAGGTTGAGGAGAGGCACCATTGAAGGCAAACTGCGGCTTGTGCATGACATCTTGTCAACATGCTGTCGAAAACAAACTTCATCATGCTTGTCCTGCCAGTGTCTGCCCGTGCCCGCGTAGCTTAACCAAAAGGGGTTGCTTGGCAAGTCATTGTCTGTTGTCCGTGAAGAGACATTTGCCACAGGTATATCGCAATGGTAGGGTTGAACCCCCTTCTGGATGCACATCCACATGGTAGCCCCATGGCTGAAATCATGCCGAAATGGCAGATCCTAATCGCCAAAGGCTGCGTGGGGGTGTGCTTGACATAGCTTTACCAACCGGTGCAAGAAATTCTGAGTCCTATTCAGTGGCAGCTAGCCAAATAATGCTAGCAGAATCCGACTTTCTGCTTATTTGATTCTTGATGAGTCAACAACGCATCCGGAGGCTCAACCTACGAGTAGATGCTGCTAGCACGTGCCGTGCCTGTCCCAGGACCGGATTGAGTGCGGTAGCGGAGATGGATTGGCCTTGGCTGAAACAAGAGTGTCGGAGTTCGTTGGCATGGCTACGTGAATCAAAGGCACGCACATTCACCCTTCTGAGGACGCTTCGGCGGAGAGTTCCTAGTTGCCGAGGTAGTGCCGAGTTGCCCGCAGCCTGGGCAAGCGCCACTCATCATACCATGTAGAATGTAGAGCACTTGAAACGGTTTCGCTCTCCGAAATGTCAGACACATCTCGTCACTGGCCAAAGGTGCTTTTCTCTGCTTGCAGAAGCCCGATCTACTGCAAGCTACTAACAGTCATGACAATTACAGGAGCTGAGGCCTCGACCGAGGGGCAGTTACTTTGTGTGCACTTTGCAGGGGAGAGGGGCAGTTGTCAGGTGGATGGTGTTTGTTTTGGCTCGAGCTTGTAATGCAGCAGTTGGATTCTGAAGTGACCCAGCATCTGTCAGTCGCAAGAGTTCCGCTCATCCGGAAAGTAGCACGAAAGTCAAACCACAGAAGGCCAACCCATCAGCGACTCATGCGCCATCATGAACCATCTGTTAAAGTAAGCACTCATTCCTTTTGCTAAACATGTCGCAAACCCAAGCATGCCCGGCTGGTAGCTTCTCGTGTGCAGCAAAGCTGAAGCGGCAAGAACGCACAGTAAATTGAAGCTCTCGCCTTTCTCTTCGCAAGCGTTCGATACTTCGCAAAGACTAAGACTCTTCTGAGACAGCATGTCATTCGGGCATCATATGAATGGAACCCACCTTTCCCACTGACACACTGCAAATAAACTCCTTCGCGAGGCCGAACCTACAAGTGTAGCGTTTCGATGTCAGGGTCTCGAGCTGCTCTTCCGTGGCCTCAGTGGGAAGTTCAAAGCTTCAGCGGGCTTTGGCGCTTCTTCGGCATTCGCGTGAGCTCATCGAAAGAATCCAAAGCTGATGGCTCTCATGCATCAACAGAAAGCATCCAGAACTGAACTTTAGACTAGACATGACTAGACTCTAGACTCAGACCACGTCACTGCCGGACTATCCTGCCACGACTTGTCCGGCACAGAACTTTGATGACATCGGGCTCACCCGTGCGTGGACGGAGCCGCTGCTTCTGCAGGAAGACTTAAGCTCGCATGAAAACCCAGAACGCTGGACCTGGCCGATGACGGAAAGACGGCTCATGTTCGGAGCTGCAAGAACCCGGAGATCATCTCAAGGCTTGAGCTTCCTCAGCTGTACCCCGAGAATGCACGACCCCCTTGGCACCACAGTTTTAACCGTGGCGAAACAAAGATCCTCCAATTCGCAGCTTGTGGGTTACAAAATCTCCGTTCTTGCAAGCGCCCCGGGAACGCCCCCAAGAAACTCTCCCAAGATCTCAATCGGCGACCACGCAAGTCCCTCGCACGAAACGTTTGGACGATACGTACGCATCATCACCACGTACAGACGTAAGGCGACCTCAAGGCGGGCTTCAAAGGACCCCAAACACCTATCTTGAGACTTGTTAGAGGTCCCGAAAATGGTCTCTTGAACTGTGAGGAGTCTTTCTCTTCACGGCTGACGTGTTGCCTTGGCGAGGCCCCAGGACTTAGATTTGCTTCGTGCCGGTGCTCCATGCCCTGTAATTAAGGAAAAGCCTGATGGCACGATGTGGATGGACACGCGACATGAAGCATGGCCGTTGCTATGTGAGAGCGACCAATCCAGAATCCCGAAGCCCGAGCTCGGCACGGCAGAGGCTTGCCGCGCGAACTCCACAGCAAGGTCGGATCGATAGTAACTGGCCTCAGTGGACCCAGACACGCATTCAGGCGTCTCGGAATCGAGGGAGATCCGGCTTCACATACCCGGCGTAACCGTGTCTGGCGCATCAGCCGTGGTAAGCCTGCTTTCCAAACCATTGCATAAACATGCTGGACATGAAAAAACCCTTCTCCCAGGTCCCTCAACAACGCTAGCTGCAATGCGAGATGATTGGAGTCAATCCAGGGCTTGCCCATTTCATCTCGTTTCGTTTTCAGGGCTGTCTGCCGCTCTGGGGCTCTGGCGGGACATAGGTGCTGGTCGCCTGCTCCAGATTCGCGGAAGAACATCTCGACACGTGAAAGAAGGCGAACATCCCCGTTCCCAACCAGCAGATACATGGCATGTGTCACACCTCCCGGTGCTTCCGGCATGGGGAACAACATGGGCGCAAAAAATCCAGTGCATCGAAGCTGCTCCAATACCCTTACCGGGATTACCGGGCGACCGCGCCTGAGGGGCCAAAGGTTGTGCTTTCTCCTGGCGCGAATGTGGCTGTTGCGGTGGCTGTTGCCGTAGGGTCCCCGGAAACGGCTTACCACGAACATAGTAGACTAGTAGACAACCCAAGTAACCTGCACAAGGGGTCGCCAGAGCAAATCGAGACCACCTCGCGACCTGGAATCCACCCCTGATGCCTGAAGTGCCCATCATCGACATTGCCCGTAACGGCCCGGCCCTGCATGCAAGTTTCCCACCTTGGGAATAGGCCCTGCCATCACTGCAGGTGCCTCCAAGCCTTCCGGATCCTTGGCCAGCATTGAAAGAATGCTACCAAAATTTGCAAAGTGCTCGCAGGCAGGCCTTGTTGCACCTCTCAACTCTGGCAAGTGTAAAGTCGGAGAAGACGCCGCACATCGCTCCATTTGGGTCACGCAGCTACTGTCCCCAATGCACTGAAATCTTATGTGCAGATCTGCTAGGCTGGAGCTGTTCATGTGGATGCTATCCAACCCACGACTCGACGACTGCGAGCTCTGAGCTGCGGCTGTTTTGCGCTTGGCAGCCCGTGGTGCGTGCGTGTCTTTGGGCAGGTCGACTGGCCCTTGTGCCAAGATCGGGAGACCGTTCAAAAACATCCGCTCAAACACATCCGGAATCCGTTCAAACACATCAAACACTAAATCGGCTACAAAGCCTCATCTCACGGTGAGATTGAGACCCGGCTCCAACTAGAGCCGCCCATGGCTGCCCTGCCATGGATGAGAGAGCAACTTGTCTCGAAAATGACAGGGCCTCCACCTATTCCTACCCGCTTAGCGAGAATGCCCTGAGGCCGAAGATCTGGAGGCTGCGCAAAATCTCGTAGGCACTTCATTCGCAGTCGCCGAGATTCGCAACGAAAAGGGCACTTCCATGGTGTCGGCCCCCTGCGTAGTCCAACGAAGGAGGGTTCAGCCATGCGAAATACTGCGATGATTATCATGATTGAAGTCGCTCGCTTGAGCAACGGCTCAGACCATAAACCAGCCTTAAAAGTCGACGCACGATATCGCTGGCGAATGCCTCAAGCAACAACTCGTAGCAAAGGGCGTAAGAGCTGACTGATCTTGATCCAGACATCGCCAGTCGAATGCACTTGCTTGCTGCCCAATTGGCAAAGGTGCCATCGGTGTCACAGCACCACCATGCCGTGCAGCTCTTCCTTTTAGCAATTCTTCGTTCATGGCATGGAGCACATGAGCAGAGCAGAGAGCTACGTAAATGCCCTATGCGTAAGCGATAGCAGAACATCTCATCTTTATTTATGCGCAGCTTTCGAACGAACAAACATGTTCGTAAGTGAATCGTCAGAATCTTTTCCCAATAAAGACCTGCCGCACCGCCAGAATCATTGGTGCTGATGCGGCAAGGCTGCTTTGGTAGGGCCCCGTGTCAGGAACGAGTTGAATACACGTAGACCGTGCACCACTTGATGCGCGCCAAAGTGCTTAAAGGAACTTAAAATTCGGCGATGTGTTGTGAACACTGCATATACGTCAAGGTGACTTCTGAATCTGCACGATGCCGGTGAAAAGATGAAGCATTGGCCTTGCACCGGCATTCAACTCACGGTTGGCCAAAGTGGCCACCCAAAGACATGGCGTTAATTTATGTTTTAATTTCACCCTGACATGCGGTGTCTGCTGCACGACATAACCAAACAAAGACTGGCACCAATTGCCGCTCACTCTCTGAAGCCGATGGATCCCAAATGAACGAGAGCTGGGTCGGGCTCCTTACTGCAACTTCAGCCGATGGACTTTGCACAAGTACGCAACTTATGTTTGGTTCCTGGCTCAAAGCAGAAACTACAACATGCTACTTCAAGGGAGGCGTCTTCACTTGAAATCCGGAAACACGCGGCGCCACGCAATCTCCTGTCTCAGCTTCACCCTGCCTGAAAAGGTTGATATCTCCTTCCAGGGAGGGAATGCAAACATTCAGCTAGGGCGAAGTACCACAAAGAGCAAAGTCCAATCCCTAAACGGCTTTAGATTCTTGTGATGGCTCCTGCAGCATCTTTTCCATCTTAGCTGCGTGACGATCGTGCAGGAGGCGATTTGGAGGCTTCATTCTCGCTTCCGGAGAGCTCTCCGAGAAGAAGGACCGGCGCTCCACCGACACTCCTAGGCCCTCTGAATCCGCACACGCCCATTGACGCTTGTCTTCTCTGTCCCGGTCACTTGGAACGGGGCTTGCTGGCAGAAATTCACCTCGAGGTGTGGCGGCGGGGAGCAGCGGTGGCGGATCCAGATCTTCAGCCAGCGGCTGTTTAGGTGCTGGCAGAGAGCTGAGGGCCTGGAAGGACGGCAATGTTTGCAAGGCCATGGCACCGACCTGTACTCCCTTCTACACTCCCCACTCTTCCCTGCGGAGAGGCTCCAGGCGACATTCCTCGATATGCCCAAAACTCAACGTCTCCCTGCCGGCCCCACCCTTTGAGCCAAGGTCGCGGCAGCCTCGCCCGTGTCCACCGCACGCAGGCGCGCTCTGGCCAGGAGGGGCTTTAGGATTTGCCATGCTTGACCGCTTCAGTTCGGGCCGGCGCTCGCTAGACTAGACTGTGGGGTGGGGGCGACCTGGCACTGCTTCTTGCGATCTCAAGTTCTGTCAAAAACCGTGACAAGATGAAAAGCTTCACACACGGAAACTCAAGCCTTCCAACACGAATGCAGCCGTGAGCAGGCAAGCGCCGCAACTCCAATAGCAAGCCGGGACAGCATTGGCACCGTCTTGGAGGCACCTCATGAAGTCTCGGCAACACAACAAAACTTCAGAGGATGAGCCATCCATGACACCCCCCCCAACCTGACACGGAAACCTTTGCTGACCCTCCTGAGCCGAGTAGTGTTTTGGCAAAGAACGCAGCTGGGGAGCAAACCGGGAAGTGATTCGCATTCTGACACGGTCCTGGCTGGTCGAAACTTAAAGGTGCCATGAAGTCCATGATGTTTCGTACAGCAAGCTGTGAGGACAGCCTAATCCGGACAGAACGTCTTCAGTTCTCATACGAGTTGATACTCGTCTTCACAGGATGCTGGAGCGCCCCCCCCCCCCCACCAACCGCCTCTGCTGCCAACCCTCTTAAGAGCACGTTCGTTTTTCTCGGTATTTACGGTACGTTCGCCCTGTCATACCACTTCTTCTTGCCTCAAACTCCACTCCGCGACTTTGATATATTCGGCTTCATTTGGGGGGGTGGGGGTGGTGGGGGGGGGTGGGGGGAGGGGGGTGGGGGGGACATTGGTAACACAGACACCCCAAACAATATCTCCACAAGAGCCGTTTTACTCGGTATTTACAGTACTTTCGCGATGGTGGACCCTCTTATATGATGATGGT